ATAGTCTTCCTGATAACATAGTGCAAGCTGAATCCTTGGGTTCCTTTAAATCAGAGCTAGATAAGATTTTAACAACTCTGAACTATTAGTTAAGTTCTCCCCAAGCGAGCTCGATGGGCCGAATGGCCTCCTCTCGTTTGTATAGTTCTTATGTTCTTATGAAAGCTTACGTTTTATTCGTTCTACAGTGTTCATCCCGACTGACACACTCAAATTCCTGCATGGTGGTACTGACTCGCAGATCCCTGAATGTACTGGCATGGCAAGCTTTTGTTAGTGGAATGTGTTGAGTACTAGGGTGAATTTTTCCATCTACTGTATTTCCTTGCTACACCTGTTAAATGACATCATCAGCATGGCTGCCATAAGACGTGTGGCATCCTGCAGTGTGTGCCCTGCAGTGTGTGCCCTGCAGTGTGTGTCCTGCAGTGTGTGCCCTGCAGTGTGTGTCCTGCTCTGTAAGCACTCTCTGGGCGATCTCCACACTCCCTCGTGTAGATGCCGACTGTTACACTCAGTCAACCTGTATCTCTGTCTTCTGTGGGCGGCCTGAGCGGAGCGGACAAGGTCAGACGTGGTGGGGGAGGCGCGCTTGGCGTCTCACTCACTCGTTGAAAACCAAATCGGGCGCGAAGTACAGCATCTGTCCGTTGGTATGTTTGTAGGACCTCCAGCTGAGGGCAAAGGAGGAGAGGCACATCCAGGAGTACTGGATGAGTGTGATCTGATCCTCGATGGGCAGACTCCTGAAGCCTGCAAGAGCACAGGAGGAACCCACTGAGGATACGGTGAAGGAGAGCGACCAGGCAGCATGATAAATAGTCCGGACAAGACAATGCCGTGATTAAGGACTTCCTACCATCCAGCAGAAGGGTCTAATGCCTAGAGGCCTGTGCCACCATTACACAGCGTCTACTGATCGAGAACAGTCACACTCTGATGTGAAGTAACCAGGGGGGGTTCCACGAAGCCAGATTTCTCAGTTAGCTGGGCTAACTTAAGCTAGATATCATGATCGTCCAGTAGGAGTTTAAGTAAGGAGCATTCCTATTGGACAATCGTGACTCCTAGCTTAAGTTAACCCATCAAATTGAGGAATCTGACTTTGCGGAACACCCCCCATTGTCAATTACACATCCTACACAAAGGGATCTAGGGCACCCCATAGGTGGCGGCATCAGCAACTGATACTGTTACTATTCTATGCTTCCATCCATCCACCTTCTAATCACGTATCTTTCTCGGCACAGCAGGTCACAGCAGGATCTGGAGCTTAGTCCTTACTCAAGTTGTTATAAACTAATATCATAGACAAATATTGTTATATACAGGCATCAAGCTAATGAACTAATACACTAATAAACTAATGTTTAGGAGAGTGCTCTTCTAATGTATGATTTGAAGAACGTGGTACAGCCCATGCTGACGGGAGTCTGACCTGGAAGCACTTTGGCCCACTTGACCACCCGGATCATCTGCTTCCCGGCCAGCTGGTTGAGGCTGGACAGCAGGTGGTCGGTGGTGTCCGGCTGCGTGTTGTCGTAGCCTGCGTACACCACCTCCGGCTCGATGAGCTCTAGCACGCTGCAGATGGAGGGCGACAGGTGGGCCGTCACCCCCGGTGAGAGTGGCACCAGGGCGGCGCCGCTGAGCTCCGTCTCCGGCTCCAGGCCCTCCTTGGGATCCTGCGACGGGGGGTCACTGCCCCCTTTCAGCTTCCCCAGCTTCTTGGACTTCCTGGCTGCTGGCAGGGCAGCATAAACCGAACAATCACTCAGAGCAACACAATTATTCCCTCGTCCCAAAATTAGGATGACTAGTCAGGAAAGAAAAAATGAGATTCTAAACTCTCTCCCAGCTGCACTGAGATCAGGATGGAAGCTGGACAAGCATGAAGTACCACCATCAACCTGGTTTCCCTGGAGACCAATGCAGTCTTGTGTCTGGCACATATTAAAATACCAAAGTATCTTACCTACCCAACTGAGAGCTGTGGTGTGTGATTTATTTCTGAATTTAAAACATGGTTATGCATTAAACAATAACAGACTGGTAAACTTTGGGGAAATAATATTAATCAGAAATTACTGGGCTTTTTCATTTAATCTCCTCTGGGTAACGCTACTGGGATGGATGTGAGGTAATTTTTTACCTACTTTTTAAAGCCTAAATTCACATCAGCCGTATAAAATGACCTGCTGGTTGACTGTTAGAATCGGGGGCTAATTATTCACTTTATTGGCACATGTTAAGTACCTCAGACTAAAACAGATTTCAGCCGATTCAGTCAGTCAGTCAATAAGTCAGTCAATCAATAAGTCAGTCAGTCAATAAGTCAGTCAGTCAGTCAGTAAGATAGTCAGTCAGTCAAACTTTGATGCTGTGACTTTTCCCTGATAGTACTGAAGACGGATCTTGGATCACTGACGGAATTACAAAGAGGCAAAGTAAATTACAAGCTAGACGTAGGTTTCGGTGCTAAAAATGAACTCTGACTGAATCGTAGATGGTTTATCCCCATCACCTTGCCTTGGCTCTGTTAGCCTTCCCCATCTCGTCTCTGTCACCCTACCATGTCTTTCGCGCCCTGCTTTGCCTCGCCTCCACTGCCCTGCCGTGTCACCCTGCCCCTCCCTGTCACCCTGCCCCTCCCTGTCACCCTGCCCCGTCTCAGTCGTCCTGTCTCATCTCCTTTCTGTCATCTTGCCTTATCTCTGTTGCTCCGCCTCATCAATATCACCCTGCCTCGGCTCTGTCACCCTGCCTCATCTCTGTCATTTTCTTTCGCCTCCATTACCCTGCCTCCAGTCATTTCCATTGCCCTGCTCTGTCTGTATCACCCTACCTTGTCTCACCACATTCAGCCTGCCTCATCTCTGTCACCCTGCCTCATCTCTCCTCTGCCACCCTGCCCCGTCTCAGCTCTGATTGGCCTGCTTCCTATACTTCTGTAAGCATGTGGAGTGTTCATTGTGCTGATATAGATCACTTGACCAGGCTGTCAGGCTGGCAGTGAGCTGTACTCAAAAGTAAAAACACTGCATGTCATATGGGGCCTGGTAAAGACTGGCGGTGGCTTGTTTGCATGACATACTGGTCGTGACGAGGACACCGCGACGTTACTGACCTCCCAGATTCATTCCTGCCTGCAGACACTTTCTGACGCGGCATGCCGGGCAGTTCTTGCGCCGGATCTTGTCGATGATGCAGTCGTTTCGCCCGGCACATAGGTAATTGTGCTGACCTGCAGGGGGCAGCATAAGTGAAGTGATTAGGAGGTCAAGCTTACAACATTGAGAAACCACACTAAAATCCACTCTGCATATTTAAAAGTGTGACATAAAATCAAGTGGTACTTTTGTTAGTGATTATTTTGTTAAAAATGAAAACTGCCTGGTAAAAACATCTTACAATTAATTGATTTTCTAATGACACAGGTCATGTGATGATTTGAAAATACACACGTGAACATGGGAAGATTCTGAGAATGATACTGAAAAGATGACACTGTCCCCCACCCCCGCTCCTGAGCAACAGTCATTAGGCCTGTGCCAAGCTGCAGGGGGGGCCGCCGCCTGATTCCATCTTAGGTGACGATGGAAGCGTTTCTGTGAACCTACAGGTGCATCAAGCCATAAGGCAGCCCGCTAACGTACACCATGCAGGTCTGCTAAGGCAGCCCGCTAACGTACACCATGCAGGTCTGCTAAGGCAGCCCGCTAACGTACACCATGCAGGTCTGCTAAGGCAGCCCGCT